AGTCAAATTACTAACCTTAGTAGCTAATCATACCGTTGAAGATTTTCTTAAAATTGCAGACTATACTGGGGATATCAGTAAAGAAGTGGCACTTGCTATCCAGTGCATCCAAACACAACAATGGGTACAATCAGTGGCAGCAGGGATCTTGAGAGAAGGAACGTTGGGTACACTACCTCAGGAAATAAGAGAAATAATAGTAAGAAATAGCTCCACTACTCAATTTGAGAAAGATCACCAAGCCTGGTGGCAATTAGTGAATTTTACTTACAATCCACAGTATGAGCGTATTGAGGTCTATGTTCTCACTATTAGTGCTGCAGAGGAAAAAGTCATCTTTCCTGTCTTGACTTTAGGAGTTATACATCAAAATGTTATCATTAAACCAGTAGATCATAATGTTTGGGCTAGTTATGATAATATCAAAAATAAGTGGCAATCAGTTAGCACAGAAGCATGTATCCCCAAAGGACAACTGGGTTATATCTGCGAAAATGCCATTGTAGAAGCAGAAGATTTATGCTTAGATGCCGAAAACAGTGTATGTACTTACGAAATGCTTCCTCACAATAGAGCTCAATCACAAGTATTTTATGTAGATAATGGATGTGCATGTATAAGAACTGTTTGTAGTGAGTGGCATCACCATAGATAACTGCCATCAAGTAACCAATGATACTAACTTTTGTATATGTAACTTCACTAGAATTGTAGGCTGCGACTTTAACTACACTGCTCCTGTAACCACTCAGCAACTAATTGAAGCAGAATACACTTTATATCATGATATACCAGGACTAAAAATAGGTATGGATACTAACCTTCTTAAAGCAATGCTCACACATCCTGACATAGAGAAGTTAGTCCAAGAAGTAAACAAGACCACTCAACGCATGCTGTGGCAGGTGGAACATGACTCAGCAGGAATAAAGAATATCTTAACAAAAGTTGAACAAGTAGGGGAGCACCACTGGTGGGATATCTTTACAGGATATTCCCCTACAGCATCCCAAGTTTTCCATTACTTGGTACACCCAATCTTGATCATGTCAATAGCAATGTTCCTGTTGACCCTTCTGAACGTGTGCCTGTGGTGCAAACTAAACTCTATAATCACGAGAACACAGGTAATCTGGGCAATGGTACAAGCATATCAACACCCTCGAGGACTAGAAGCTGATGAAAGAATTCGTAAGTTTTGAGAAAAGGGGAGAAATGAAACAAGGCAAGGTCTAGAGAGCAAATGTAATATAGCAATATGAAAAGTAAAGAGTATCAGGAACTTCTGCCAAATTCACTAGGAAGGTGACCAAAGTAGGAGAGTTCACAAAGTTCATGATGATGATGGAAAGAGGGACAGGGGTTCGTGAGGCTGAAGAACAGGAACGACCTTCCCAGATTATCCCCAAATTGAAGACCGCACCCCTAACTCCGCCTAAACTCCACCTGTTATGAATATTAAAAATGTATGTTGCAATATTATACATATTCATGCATGATGATGTAATTGCTTGGTAAAAATTGTATAAAAAGGTCAGTTGTGAATTGATAGGACTAAGCAGTTTGTCCAGGGAGACCTGGCTACTTCCCGTAAATAAAGATACCTCCTGCTTATTGACTGAAAACTTTGAGCAGTTTCTTCATCCGTGCCTTTTGGGGCATAAAATTGGCATCACGGGTAAAAAGACTTACCCAAGAGTGCCCAAGGGGGTCCCGTCCTCCGAGGGATTCCGCAGTCGGGTGGAGAAGGTGTCCTGTCACGAGTCGCCAAATGATTCCGAAAAATCCAGTATAAAGAACTGCTCAGAGTCTTTTGGATCTTCGAGCAGCAAATGTATTTATTGACAGCGCCAGGAGCAAGTGTGGTTCGCACCACAAAGAACTTACTCAAAGGTTTCACACAAAATCAGTAGTTTTTATACAATTTTCATATATGATTAAATGCATATTCATGTGATTACAACATCTATCTATACATATTAATAACAGGTGGAGTACAGGTGAAGCTCAGATGGGGCTTGGGGTGGTGCTTCTCTTGGTCCTCAATCTTGGTGGGAGATCCGCTCTTCCTCCCGTGAGTCTGGGGTTATAATCTCATCTTCCTCAACTTGACCTTCCTTCTTTTCCATTGTTCTCGTTTCCCGCTCACTGAAACTTGGAGAAAACCTTGGCTCCAGGTCTGTTTCTCCTATTCAAATGTCTACTTTATCTTACTGCATCCTAATTTATTATTTCTAGGCCTATTGTATGTTTACCATTCTTTTAAGTTTTGGTCCAGTAGGTAGAACAGAAGAGCACAGATTGTTTAGATGTTGATAGCTTCTTAGCAGGTCCAGATTTTCTCAGTTAACTCTTTTGGGTCTGGTTTCTTGTTTCAACATGAACCAGCATAGTAGTTGCTGTGGCCAGTGTGTGCTGCCCCGTGTAACCTGAGGGCTGTCACGCAGTGGAACGTATAACTAGCTGTGGGAAAGTACTGGTTTAAACCATGCTGGTTGAATTTAATGTCTTCTTTTTTCTCTCTGCGCTTGCAGGTCAGAAGATTCTTCACCACAGAAGTGATGCCTTAGAAACTGTAGTCCTTATCAATCCCTCAGATGAAGCAGTTAGTACTGAGGTAAGTCAGTCAGAAATACTTCACTAGATGTGTCATAAAAGCTCCATTAAGTGGACAGGTTGAGTGAAGCTCCTAACTGTGGACAAAAGGACATGCTAGAAACAAATATCATCAAAAACATCCAAAGAATCCCTTGATTTTTTCCTGGTTTCCTGGTGTCATGGGTGGGAGTGGAAGGTTTAGACAAAATTTATTAAAAAGCCCTGCTGTTGAGTCATCAGGTGCAGAAAGGACTCCCTTGATTTCTAAACCCCAACTCAGAGAGGAGCCTAGGTGTGGCTGAATCCAGTCTTAGCCACAGATTGTCACTGGTTTAAATTTAAGGAATTACAGAGGTGTGATTGAACCACTTTTGTCCCACAGGTTTTAATGATTGGTAAAATGAGAATATTTATATAAAATGAGTCATTTGTTATTACAAATGATCAGACAAAAGATCTTAATCAGAATTATTTACTACACAATATAAATGCTAAAACTACTAGTAGTATAGTATAAGATAGGACAGTGCACTATATTGAAGCAATTATTGAAACAATTATATTGAAGTTAGCAAAAAGGAAATAATTTTTAAGTAGAAATTTGGTGTAACTCACCCATACCAACGCTGGTGGGGAGATCTCTTTCTCTCAACCTCGAGGAGTATCCTTGGAGGGCGTCCCCATTGTTGCAGTGGGATTTAGGTGCTGATAAAATCTCCAGAGCAGTTAATTAGGGGTGAGATAAGAAAGGGTTTATTTGCCAAGGCAGTAGATGTTACAAGACCCGAGAGGTTACATTTTATAATACCATCCATCCAATCCCAGATGTGTCCACCCTGTGACCTTTACTCTGGTCCGCCCCGGGTCCACCCCTGAGAAATGGGTCTGGGGTGCATTTCGGGACCACCTACTTCATCACCTTCACCATCATCAGAGCACAAAGGGTACATAGTTACCTAATTCTTGACCGTATTCTGTGGTTTAGGTCCTGATATGCTGTTCTGCCAACAATCTAGGCCTTGCCTTGACAAAAGACTAAACATCTCTGCTAGATTCAGGACTAGGGCTGATATAGGGAGCATAGAATGGTGTAAGAGGGTTAAGGAATGTGTAAACAAGGGTGCTACAGGGAAAGGGATAGGGACAAGGGATGCTGCTTTTAGAGTCTACCTATAAAACTTACAAGGCTTACCAATATTAGAAAAATAAAAAAACCATTAGGGGCTTAAGACATCACCATCCAAGGGAGGAATCTCCATACATACACCCCAAGAAGGGTTATGTTAGAAGAATCTGGTTGTATGAAAGGGGACTGGACTTTTATAGTATAAAGTGATTGACTGCTAGTCACACATTTACAGACCAGGATGGTTTTAGCATAATGAACACCAAGACAGCACTCTGGCACCAGCAGTTGAACTGGCATGATAGTTTGCCTGATGGTTTGCATTGTATGCATTCTCTGATTGGATTTTAGATCTTATCAGGTGGGTGCTATCCTGCCACACCCAGACTCCTGATAAAGTTTCAAAGACACAGGACAGAAACACACCACTTAGCCAGCACTCATTTCCTCATAACACACCAAGTTCCCTTCTTGATGAAGGCAGCTGTGGTAAAACTGTATCTAGTTTTCTTCTGTTGTTTGGTAGCTCTGGTTGCCTCTTTTACATATGAAAAAATACCTGAAAAGAAACCAGATGCCATGAGATAAATTTAGGTCCTCCAGAAGAATGATCATCTATGTGGCAGTGACTCTAGGTTGATCTATGTGATCTGTCCTTCAAAAACCGCATGACATGATCAGTGGACTCTGAAGAGTACCCTAGAAGAGGACTGTCAATTCCTCATAAACTTACTAGAGTAGAGCCAAAGAACTGAGCATGTAGCTCAAAGAAAAAATTGACAAATTTAGCTAACGATACTGAAGATTGTAAGAATTAATTACATTGCTAACCAGTGCTGGGAAGCACTGGCATGGTACAATTTATTTTGGGAAATGAAGTGACTCTGCTTGTGGCACTTTGTGAAAAATCTATTTGTTTACTAGTCTTAAGCGATATTAAACACAAACAGGAAGAAACTGTCATGGTTTGACCTCAGTCAGTAACTAAGTGCCATGCAACCACTCACTTCCTCCATGCTGGAGAAAAAGAGAATCCTAAAAAAAAAGTCAACCTCTTGGGTAGAATGAAGAACAGTTTAATAATTGAAACAAAATAAAATATAATCAAATATAACAATGATAATAATAATAACAACAATAATAATAGTAATGAAAAGGAGAGAAATTAATAGAACCCAAGAGAAACAAGTGATGCACAATAACTCACCACCTTCTGACCAATACCCAGTTAGTCCCCTCCCGTCCAACTCCCCCTAGTTTATATACTGAGCATGACATTCTATGGTATGGAATATCCCTTTGGCCAGTTCAGGTCAGCTGCCCCAAACTGCAATCTTTATTCCTACACCTCTCAAGTGGATGGACTACAAGATGGGGACTGGAAGAGCAAAGTCCCTCCCACTGTAAGAGAACATCAGAGATCGACATAATTTATTACTATGTTTTGAAAAAAGATCTTGGGTTGGCACACTTAAAAAAAACTTAAAAAAGTTATGGTGTCCATAGTTAGTGATATCATGAGATGTAAATAGTACATGTGACTGTATCTGAGTGCTTGACTATGATTATGGTGAAACAGAAACATCCTTTAACTTGGTAGATAATTGAACAGAATGACAGTCTAAATATACCACTTTTATGTGTGATTTGTGACTGTTACTTTTTAGTGACATTTTTGCAACTGAATGAGAAGTAATGCTGTAAACTGGGAAAAGAAAATTTGCCTTCCAAAAGCAGTCTGACACATTAGCATGCGGGACACAGCTGACCAAGGTTGTCCTTATACACTGCTATTAAAGTTCAACAACAGTTATAGAAGGAATGTATTTTTTCTGTTCCTTTGCTGCCTGGGAAAGAGGCATCCTGCCAGGGATAAGTCTTATGCATTTTCTCCTCCTGCATTCCAGAGAGGCTGACTTCCTGGTATGAGAGAAAATAAGTCCTTGCAGACATGCTGTTATGGTTTAGTTAAATGAAGAAGATTTTGTTGTTGAATTTTTTCATGTCATCATGTGGTTTTGAAGAGTGTAGGGGACACCTTCTTGCTCTTTCTCCCGTGCAGGGTGGAGAGTGGGGAGTGATGAAGGGTCATCACTGCGAGAACTTAAGAGGCTAAAACTTGCTACCAGGACTGGAACACCCTCTTTTTGGTTCCTGGGACTGCAGCTGGGAGGGAGTTGTTGGCCGCTGAACCCCTGGAGCCACCCCGCACCCCAGCTTTCGCAGTTCCCGTCCAGGCAGGAACCCCCTGACTGATGCCTTAAATGGCCAGAAAGAACCCTCTAACACTCCTTTTTGAGTATTAGAAAACAAAACATTCCTTATTTACAGCATACTGGGTGCATAGGAATAATTTCCAAAGTACGCACACTGAGTTACAGAGGTGCTAAAGTTTTTACTATAATATCTAACATTACAAAGTCATTGTGCTGTCTACTCTCTTATATGGGTCTGAATCATGGGTCATTTACCGCCACCACCTGCGACTCTTAGAATGCTTCCATCAACGCTGCCTCCGTACAATCCTAAACATCCACTGCTCAGATTATGTAACTAACACATCTGTTCTAGAACAGGCAGCAGTTGTGAGTATTGAGGCCATGTTGCTGAGAACACAGCTGTGTTGGGCAGGGCACGTCTCCAGGATGGAGGACTACCGCCTCCCCAAGATGGTGCTCTATGGTGAACTTGCCACTGGTTGCAGCAAGAGAGGAGCCCCGAAGAGGAGATACAAGGACTCCCTGAAGCAAGATCTCAGCCTTGGTGTATTAGGGAGGGTTCAAAACCACACTGAAACTTGAAACCAAGACACCGTTGCAAACTCAACAAAAACCCCCAATATTTATTACCAAGAGGTGGCCAACAAAACGAACAAACCCAAAAGGGAGGAAGGAGGAGAGAAATAAGCCCCCAGTACAACCTCCCCAGTTACCCAGCTGTTGCCCATAAAGTTATCTTACCGACCTAGCATGTCTATAATTACCCATAGCAGAAGCTGCATCCTTGGAGAGTCGGTAAGTTCACAAACTGACAGGCGTCCCCACCAAAGGCAACGTTGTCCTTGGTGTGAAGTTAGCTCCCCCCAGGTAAGCACTATCTGCTTTTTATACAATTAATTGAGTGGCCAGCACCGCCCAACCTGAGGTCCTCAGTCCCACCTCCCGGTTATGTAAGTGCATCTCTTCTGCGCACACGTGAGAACTTCGGAAATCCCCTCACGCACGCGCAGCATGTTTTGGGGGTCTTTCTTAATTGAGTCTGGGGGCGAGCCTTCCTCATCGTCCTCCTCAATCTCTCCTTCAAGCGACCTTGGAGGACAACTAACCAATCACAGAATACCAATTAAAACAGTTTATACAAGAAGCTCTCTTCAAGGACAACTTTCCCGTTTATCGGTGCTTGTTTTCCCATAACTTGGCAAGGAAAGAGTAAAGCTTTCACAGGTGGCAGGGCCAAACACAGACCAAAAGTATCAGCATAAATTCACCCTGGTACACTTGGTCACATTGATCTTCATCACTGGTCTACCCTGGCCTCCAATCGGGAGGTCTGAAGACACACAATTCATAACGCTGCTGCTTCCTTTGAGAATGCATGCAGGATCACTCTTGAGGAGAAAAGACAACGCAGAAAGAATCGTACCCTGCCGATACCATCCAAGGAGTCTTTCTGCTGTGCCTTTTGCAACCGATCTTGTGTATCTCACATTGGTCTCTTTAGCCACCAGCACACCTGTAGCAAATGTGGGTTGAGCCCTTCCCAAATCTTCATTCGTGAAGCCTAGCCATGGTGATCTAACATTATATCATCTGTTACATCCACTTCCCAAAACCGTCCATCCTATTGGACCTCCCTTAACCGCCTTAGACACGCCTTTCAAATTTGAGTCAGAGGTCTCAACAACCCTTTATCTTCATCTTGCCTTCCTCTTCCTTATCTTGTTCCTTGGTCTTTGGCACAGTAGCATGCCTTCTGGAACAGTTTCAAGGCTTCTGAGCAGCTCTGACTCAGTTATATCAAACAATGTGCCTGTTATGTCTTTTCTGAGTACATTTGCTACAGACAAAATGTTCTTTACTTTGCTACAATCTTTGTCCATTGGAATTCTTGACAAGAAATATTAAACAACACTGTTAGAAATCTTGTACAAAGGTGTTAACAGGCCGAAGACACTAGCAAGCTATACCAAAAGTGCTAAAAAGCTATACTATAATCTATATAATAGAGATTTTAAGGCATCATCATTGGTCATGGTCACGGTCACCGGCCAGGGAAATTCCCTTTCATGTGTGGTAAGTGGTCTCTGCCTCTACTGCCTGGGAATAGCACCGCCGCCACTGCAGTCACCCGAGCCATGGCAACCGTCCTTGACACCTGCTTTGCAGACGTGTTTTTCCATGTCTGGTGCAGGTAGTGCTGTCATGTTAGCATTCTCAGCTTTCAGAAATAAATTCTCCAAAATCCTTCCACTGCCTGGTCCTGAGGGTACCCGCACTTAATCTTTCTTCACAAAGGCTTATGGGACACCTTATCACCATGTTCCAGTATTTAAAGGGTGGCCACAAAGAAGATGGAGACCCCCTTTTTACAAGGAGTCACATGGCAAAGATGAGAGGTAATGGCTACAAGTTACTCCTGGGGAGATTCTGATTGGACAAAAGAGGAAAATTTTTCACAATTAGAACAATCAACCATTGGAATAATCTCCCCAGGGAAGAGGTGGATTCCCCAACATTGAACACTTTTAAGATTTGGCTGGACAGGGTACTGCGCCATCTTTTTGCTAACAAAGGTTGGACCAGATGATCCTTGAGGTCCCTTCCAATCTGGTATTCTATGAAATAATTAGGACTGACATTTTATCCTGTTCAAAAAGAACAAATAAAGCCAATCTCTGACATTTTGAGGAACTAAAAAGAGTGCACTCTTGTTCAGGCAAAACTTCTTGGTTTCATAATTTCAAAAAGTTTCATTCAGATATCAGCTATTATTTATTTTTGTCTTTTGAAACTGCCTTGCACTTTGAAATAAAAACTTTCTCTCTGGAAAACCTGCACTTTCTACTGAGGAAACATCAAAATAAAGCAGGTAAGGAATTTCTAAAAGGTATTGCATAACAAGTGCCATACCAGTTTAGACCAAATCTTCATCTCACCTTGTGTCCCATTCATCAGCAGCTGTCAAAAGTCAGTGTCCCAGGAAGGGTGGAGCAACTATGTCATGAAGTTGCCCCTGAACACTGCCCCAGCATCTGGCAGCTCAGGGACTTTCTAAGACAGCTCATCTGTGTTTTTATTTAGCAGTGCTCATTGGCTTTTGCTTTAATGAATCTCAGTTCCTTTTACATCACTCTGGGATTTTAGCACCTACCATATCCTGCGTCAAGGAGTTCCCCATTCATGCGAAGATCCATGTTCCTGCAGCACAGCATGTGCTGGAAGGCAGTGAGCTGATGTTCTTCTCCCCATGTACCCATGACTCTCAGGACTCAAGAGGGGCTTCTCACCTCCACCCTTGGTACAGCTCTTCTCCAAGGTCAAAACCTGTCATTCCTCAGACAGAGGTTGTACCTTCCCTATGGTCATCCCCTGCTCTTTGCTGGGCTTTTCTGATTTCTGCTCTATATCCTTGGAGGCACGGAGTTGCACAAAACATTCAGCACATGGGCACACCAGGGATTTGCACAGCATCAACTGTTTTCTTCTTTCTATACCTTTTCCTAGTAATACAGATTGCTTTCTGAACTACTCTTGCTTTCTTATGCTTTCACAGATCTATTACATAATGATCTCATTTCCAAGGGGACATAGATCATCAAGTCCAACCCTTGATCCACTACCGCTGCGGTTACTAGACCATGGTACTGAGTGCCACATCCAGTTTCTTTTTAAAAATCTCCAGGGACGGAGCATCCACTACTTCCCTGGGCACCCCATTCCAATGTCTGACCACCCTCTCTGTAAAGAAATTCTTTCTAATATCTAACCTAAACCACCCCTGGCACAACTTGAGACCATGTCCTCTTGTCTTGCTTATAGTTGCCTGGGAAAAGAGACCAACCCCCACCTGGCTACAACCTCCTTTCAGGTAGTTGTAGAGAGTGATGAGGTCTCCCCGAGCCTCCTCTTCTCCAGGTTGACTTCTGCTTGAGTCCCTTCACCAACCTAGTTGCCCTCCTCTGGACCTGCTCCAACACCTCAGTGTCCTTCCTGAACTGAGGGGCCCAGAACTGGACACAGTACTCCAGGTGTGACCTCACCAGCGCTGAATACAGAGGAAGAATCACTTCCTTGGACCTGCTGGCCACACTGTTCCTGATACAGGCCAGGATGCCATTGGCCTTCTTGGCCACCTGGGCACACTGCTGGCTCATGTTCAGCTTCTTGTCGATCCAAACTCCCAGGTCCCTCTCTGTCTGACTGCTCTCCAGCCACTCTGTTCCCAGTCTGTAGCGCTGCATGGGGTTGTTGTGGTCAAAGTGCAGGACCCGGCACCTGGCCTTGTTGAACCTCATCCCGTTGGAATCAGCCCAACTCTCCAGTCTGTCCAGGTCCCTCTGCAGAGCCCTCCTGCCTTCCAGTTGATCAACACTCCCCCCCAATTTAGTGTCATCTGCAAATTTGCTAATGGTACACTCAATCCCCTCATCTAAATCATCAATAAAGATATTAAACAGAACTGGGTCCAACACTGATCCCTGGGGTACACCACTAGTGACTGGTCACCAACTGGATGCAGCACTGTTCACCACCACTCCCTGGGCCCGGTCCTGCAACCAGTTCTTAACCCAGTGTGCTGGTTTAAAAGGCTGGTTTAAAAGGTGCTCAGTCAGGGAATTCCACAAAAGGAGGGGATGAGGACAGGCTGGGGGGGGGGGGGGCACCTCGCAGACCTCTACTGACAACAGTTTCTGGGAAATGGCATGGAGGGCTATAGAATACACAGTTTTGGGCTACACCCATCCAATGATGAATTGGTCCCAGCTGTTCTAACTAGGACACCCAGTACAGAGTGCCCCTGTACAAGCCATGGGCTGCCAGCTTTTTCAGGAGAATGCTATGGGAGACGGTGTTGAAGGCCTTGCTGAAGTCCTGATAGACCACAGCCTTCCCCTCATCCACCAGGCGGGTCACCTGATCATAAAAGGAGATCAGGTTGGTCAGACAGGACCTGCCCTTCCTAAACCCGTGCTGGCTGGGTCTGATCCCTTGTCCATCCTGTAGGTGCTGTGTGATTGCACTGAGGATGTTCTGCTCCATAACCTTGCCAGGCACTGAGGTCAGACTGATAGGCCTATAGTTTCCCGGGTCCTCATTCCGGCCCTTTTTGTGTATTGGCATGACATTTGCCAACTTCCAATCATCTGGGACCTCCCCAGTGAGCCAGGACTGTTGGTAAATGATGGAGAGCGGCTTGGCGAGCTCTTCTACCAGCTCCCTTATCACCCTTGGGTGGATCCCATCTGGTCCCATAGACTCGTGGGGATCCAAGCATCTCAGTAGGTCACTGTTTCCTTCTGGATTACAGGGGGGCTGTTCAGATTCTTGCCTCTTTCTACATGCTCCAGAAGCCAGTTGTCCTCAGGACAACCTGTCTTACTGTTGAAAACTGAGGTAAAGAATGTGTTAAGTACCTAAGCCTTTTCCTCATCTTTGATGACTATGTTCCCGCCCATGTCCAATAAAGAATGGAGGTTTTCCTTGCCCCTCCTTTTGCTATTGATGTATCTGTAGAAGGACTTTTTGTTATCCTTCACAAAGGTGGCAAGATTCACTATAACATCCCCCATCCCTGCCCTTCCCTTAATCTTGACTCACAAGTTCTCAATTAGCTCATCATCCCTCCCCAGGCAGAGTTCTGAAACAAGAAGTTAGGACCAAAAGAATTAACTGGGATCTGGGCCTGCTAAGAGGCCCCCTAACATTTAGTCGGTCTGTGATGCTAAGGTTTGTTCTGTTCTGCTTATTGGACCAAAACTTAGAAGAATGCTAGAAGCAATTTTCAATAGGCCTAGAGGTAATAAATTAGGATACAGTAAGATAAGGTAGACATTTGAATAGAAGAAATAGGTTTGGAGCCAGGGTTTTTTCCAAGCTTCACTGAACTGGTCAAGAACAAAGGAAAGGTAGAAAGTTCACGGTGATGAAGAGGAGCAGAGTCCCCAGACTCATGGGAGGAAGACCTAAAACCCCTACCAGAATTGAGTGCCAAGAGAAGTTCCGCCTGCACTCTGCCTATGCTCCGCCTGTTATTAATATGTATAGATAGATGTTGTAATCATATGGGCACCCTCAAGTGAGTCTTTTCACCTGAAGGGGTTCCCTTCTTCAGTGGTTTCCTGCGGGGGCTGGACAAGAACGCTGCCTATTGATAAAAGGTATTTATATTTGGGGTTGTCTATTTTGGTTTTGGAATCCCATAAGACGCGGACAGGATGCCGTCTCACTGGGAGGGGAGAGGACGTTCTTCCTGGGGAATATCCCCTTTGGGCTGGTATGTTCCAGTTTTGTTTGTATATGGCCAAATATTGTTTATTTTGGTGAAACGAGGTTTTTAAGTTTCCTTTTGGTTGTTCTTTTGTTTATGGTTTGAGGCGTCTATTGTGTATTCTTGGAAAGTGACAGTTGTCATAGTATTCTGTTTGTTTTATGCTGCTTTGATAATTCTGTGTTTTCTTGCTCTGTGTTGGAAGCAAAATCGAGCTCCTGAAGTGTCTGTTCATTCTGAACTGGTCATAGAAACATCTTGTTAAGATTTTTATGGGGAGGGGGTCTGAGAGGTTGACTGTGAATACACCACATAGCTTGAAATCTAGAATTAGAATATGTCCATTTTGCAATTGTTCATTGTATGTGCGTGCTTTATGTAATAATTGTTTTGATGCCTTAAGACCCTTTTAGTTTCTTATTTTTCTAATTTTGTAAGCTTTATAAGTTTTACAAGAAGTAGAAGCAGCAGCCCTTGTTCCCTCACCCTGTAGCCCAAGTAGTTTACACATTCCTCAACCCTCTTACCCCATTCCATGCTCCCCATATCAATCCTACCCCTGAATTCAGTAGAAATGTTTAGTCTTTTGTCAAGGCAAGGCCTATGCTGTTTAGAGAACACTCATATCTTGGTCTGAACTACAGAACAGAGTCAAGAACTAGGTGACCGTGTACCCTTTGTGCTCTGAAGATGGCGATGGTGATGAAGAAGTGGTCCTAAAAGCCCACAGACCCAATTCCCGGGGGGTGGGCCGGGGGGTGGACCAGAACAAAGGCAACAGGATTGACAAAACTTGGATTGGTCAAGCAGTATTATAAAATGTAACATCTCAGGCACAGCCAGCGCACGTCCTGTAACATCTATGCCTTGGCACAAATTAAACCCTTTCCTTATCTCACCCTCAATTAACTGCTCCTGAGTTTTTTCTTTAGCATCAACATTTTAGGCATCAGTTTGAAATATATTCTTGGATCCCAGTCTACCCAAGAGATAAGATTTGATTGGACTTTGAATTTATATTGTATTAGATGTGCAGCTAATCAGACTTTAGAGGTTGGTTTTAAAATTAGTGAATTTAGGAGATTTCTACTGAGAAGTACTACTTGAATTGGAAGAGTAGATATTATTTGGCAGTATAATAGTTGTGATTGGCAAGATATTATAGATTTAATTGTCTATCTTCATAATGGGGATCAAAATGAGTAAAGAAATAAATGCCAAGACTCCCATGGGGTGTATATTAAAACAAAAAGCCTAAAACCTTCCTTTCCAATGCTCC